ATTAATTTTTTTATATCTGGTCACGGACCGTTCGCCACGCACGTCATGTGACGTGACACTATAAAGTATATGCGTACACTTCGACATCATAATAATATAATATTATAATACACATTATAATAATTAGTATGCAAATGCTTATACGTGGGGTAAAAGCACGTTCGGTTTTTTCGAGTTTCTACCTCTCTGGCGCGCAATAAGGACATGATGATATAGGTATATTATACAGTGATATTTTTGTTTTACCCTATAGCCAAGCACTATGCCATCGAACTTTAATTTTTTTTTTAAACATTTAAAGACATAATTTAATACATTTTTCACGATAAAAAATATGATCCGTGTACGTAATATATACACGATATTATATATACGACCCATGCGCGCCGCGCTTCGACTGTTTGGATTGCTATATCGTGCCTACACAACCCTAGTGTAACCTCCACGACCCTGATGATTGATGCCACGCGTATGTTTCTTGTTCAGGCAAAACGTGTATATTATATAAATATAAGGGCGACGCCTAACCCTTATAGCCACCGCCACTTCCATCCCTATTGACACAACTCTGCCGAGCAGCAAACAATATTATTAATCCTCGGGATGCATATGAAGTACACGCGCGCGCCATCAATGTATATCTATATAGGTATAATTATATGACTACTGCATACGTATAATGTGTCTTATATTAATATATTTTTGTTCGTACTTTATATAAAGTGGAGCGAAGGTCTCGACTTCCCGCCAGTGGAGTAATTAAAAAATCGCGGTCCCGATATTATTGTATACTTGTATAGTTCCCATGTGTGTGCGTAGCTTCGACTACGACCTTTCGCAAAAATATAAAACGACTAGCTATTTCGATGTAAAATGTTTGTGCGTGATTACATGTGTGCGACTTGTGCGTGAGCGCTTTCGCAAAACAACACCTAACCAGCACTACCTACCTGTGAGGACCGCTATATACTCGCGTGTTATATTCATAATAATAATACAAGCCACGCTCTAATTATGCGTATATTATAATATATTATGTGTATATCTGGTGATGAATAATTCACGAGCAATATTCGGGTTGTTGACAAATTGTCGTTCAATTAATTTGGATGGAAAACCCCGAGTATACAGTCAGCGCTGTAATGAATATAGGGAAAAAGCAGAAAAAAAACCCCAAATAAATAAATAAATAGATTAATGTTTTGTGATAGTGTCGTACGTGTTCAAATAGGCAAGTAGAATGGTAGTACCTAGGTATACATTAAAATATATCGCAATTAATGATATTGAAATGGGCCGGAATCGTAAAAAAAATATTTAAAACAAACCTTAATTGACTAATTTTAACGAACCAACCACACTATAATAGAATGTACGTGTGCTGCACCGAATATTTTATTTATATTTATTAGGGTTGTCAGTATTTACGAGTCCTGGTCACTAATGCAACATAGAGTGGGTTTTAAAATCGCACAATATGATATAATACCTTTAACATAACATAACATTTATGTATATGAAAGGAAATTGGTTAAAAGTGACTTAATATTATTCACAAATTTTAGCAAAATAAGTTTTATTGTGTATTATTTATGTTAATATGGAAACACGTCGTTTTGTGATGTAAGGTAGCATAATGTTTGTTAAAACATTTTTTTAATATTTATAATATATTAATCAGTACACGGTCCAAAGATAAGTAATTTTTAAGAAATGCCTGGAGCTTTTAATAAATAACTACGATGCCAAATTTTGTCGTTAATATTATTATCACATATTATTTTATATCTCTAATATTATCTTGACACAATAAAACCACAAAATTTGTATTTTTATACTTTTAATGAAAATGTATGGTTTTTTATTTGTATCTGATATAGCTATTGTTTTATTTCTACTATTGGTCGCATTGATTGAAGAATAAATTAAGATAAAAATACATTTTGCTTCTATTGAAAAGTTGTAAAATAATGCACATAGGTCCCTTTTAACAAAATTTTGTTCATATAATATAGACAATATACCTAACTCTTATTTATAAGACAATACATGTGAGATGCGAACCGATATTAAATTCAACTCAATTTCTGTGCACAGAATAATTTAATGACCCAAGGAGAATGTGTTGTGCTGAAATTGAATATTCAAATGTATCGGACTGAAATAATATCCCTAAGTTACTTAATATATGTTCATATAATTATATACACCCATATTTATAACTTATAAGTCTGCAATCCCATTATGATCGGAATTTCGTAGAGAAAACAAAATTTTTATTTTATTTTATTGTCAGAGGTTAAGTATAAGAAGACAGAAAGATATTTTTATAAAGTACATATTTTAGAGACATTATTATATATTTATAAAATAGGTATCAACAATACTGTTTCCCAATGAGTTGTTTCAGGTTTTTTAGCAATCAAAATAATGGACAATGCCCTCAAAAAGGACAAAAAGAAACAAAATAAAGAATAAATATAATAATAATAATAATAATAGTGAAATGTCAATTTATATTATATATATTTATAGGACGTTTTCAAGAATTTATTTTCGTAGAACTACTTTCTGGAGAAAAAGAATGAAAAAAATGACACTTTAGATTCGACACAACATCAAAACTGTCACCTTTAAAAGCACATCCGTATAGTCGGGTTAAAGGTGCTACATACGAGACAGTAAAAGCTTTTCTCTTATCACCTAGAAATATCATTCAATGTATGTCCTTAGACTTAGGGTCACACAATAATTATTCGACACGTAGTTACCAGTTATTTGTTCAACGTTGTATACAATTAGACTGCTCGAATGAATAAAAATAATAATAAAAAAAACACACAGGGTTACCATGACGTCACGTCGATAACTGCGAGGGGAATAAGTGACATTTTATTCATTGTAATAATTATTATTTGGGGACGTGGGCTATATATAGCGTGCAATATAAAAAAAAACCATTAGTCTTGAATTATTCACGAAACCCACTCCTGCAATTTTATAAGTTAAATATGCTCGTATAATCACGTCGTGAAATCACTATATGAAAATGGAAAATCTGGGATTACTATGCAATAATTACGATTTATATTTTGCTGTTATTAATTAAAATAAATAAATTCAATCACAATGAAGTTGATTTTTCGTTAGGATTTAATTATTCTAAATGCACGCGGTCCACATGTCGTATTAGTCAGATACGTGAAATTAATACAATTTCATATTCTTCCGAGTGATATAAAGTGTACTGGTTTCAGGTTTGTACTTTTTATTGACTAAACAAGAAGCGGTGCAGTTTTAAAGACCAAACATAAAATTTCAGCGATAATATCGAATATTTTTAAGTTTGGTCAATATGTAATAATTTAGAATTTATTTTGGTTTCAACTTTCATCATAATTCACTACGATTGCGGTCTGTGGAAACAATTTAAATTACCTTTAAAAATACCCACCCCTACTAAGTATCTTCAAGCGCTTTGGTCCTCCGTCTTAGCTCTATAATATAAAGACTGCCAACTTTTAACCAACACGAAATAATGAACTTTGGATTGTCGGTGGATGGAGAGCCTAATGGGGTGAAACCAAATCGTATGTAATGATTTTGCAGTGAGTAATAAAAAATATATCTGTTTTTTTTTCAGAGCTTAATAAATTTAGGGGCTCTGTTTGGTCGGTCGAAGACCCGAGTCGTGAAATAGTATGGTGCTAAATATAGTATATATTAAATATACCTTCAAGAATATATTATGAATCAAATAAGAGAAAAAAAGCAACAAACATTAACGTTACTATTTTTATTCAATTATGTCTGGAACATTGAAAAACAAAAAAACTAACTCCAACGTGATTTAATTTAAAGCATCTGGAGTGCAACACTTTACAGGGATAAAATAAATTCGAATTGTTTTTTTTCATCTACTACACAAGTGACAGCGCAATTAAACAATAGTATGATTAAACATTTCTTATAGGCTCCAATGTGCGAGGATGATTCACCAAGCATGTTCATCCCTTTTTTTATTCAATAATGCAGTTATTCAAAATATGATTTTCGGAATTCTTAAATACCTACCGACTTAAAAACCATCAATAAATTAAATCTTTGAGATTTGATGTGCTACTTAAGTAGTGTGTGTATATAATACTGTTATACATATATATATATCCATTATAATGGGTTCGGAGGACGTTTTAATTTCAACATGAACATCATTGACCACGTACATGCATGATATGAGTTTAACATCCTATGGTTCTATACTACTATCATATTTTTATAATATCTATTTACAGTTATCTTTCTTTGCTAACAGAAAAGCGTTTGGTTTCTTTGTGTATAAATAATAACAGCTGAGTATTGCGTACCTAAATATTATAATATGTGTAAAAGTCGGTAGCATAGTATAAACCAAAAACAGCATCCAGTTTCATTAAAACTGTAGTTCCTATAAACACACATACAAACACTGCTACTCTCAAAACGCTCCCTCGAAAAACCCAATAGCCTAGATTAAATCCATAGTTATTACGCTTAATCCCTATATAAGTACACACACATACACACACACACACACACACACACACACACACACACACACACACACACACACACACACACACACGAGCTCGCGAATAGATATTCATCGTATCCCTTCATACCGCCGACTCTTGTTTGCCCCTAGCCGTTCCATTACCCCAACCCCTCGTCCATGGGTACTGCAATCTGCGCAGAGTACAGATTAACCCTTTATCATTACATCGAGGAATACGATAATTATTGGCCGCCGTTGATTATACATGCGAGCCCATTTGATGTGGTCACCACGCAGTTTTCTCAAAAGTACTTAATAATCCTTTGAGCGATCCTGCAGCTATATAGTTCTCAAGCATATTATATCCACAAGATACCTATTAATGGCGAAAGGGTTTATAATTTCCCACCGAAAACTATGTCCCTAGATAGTGACCGCAGAACTGGCAATTATATAAATGTATTACCTTTATGAACCGCTTGGCTTTAGTCAGCAAGCCCAGAGTCGTGTGTCGGGACGATTCGTGACCCAGCGGAACCATTTCTTTCAGTTTTTCTAAACAGTTTCTGAGATGAGCTCGCCTGAAACAGAAAATAAGTGGTTAAGTACGTTATAACGTTACCTGTATCAAACACATGCACAATAATATAGTTATAGTCCTAGTTATTTTTTATCACGACTAAAAAAAGTGCGATAAATTTGACGACTAAACTGTTTGTGAAAAGACGTTATTGTAATCTTATACAATTGTTACTATATTAAATTAATTCAGACTCTTATAGTTTTTAATTTATATTGGGGAAAACATAGTTTCGAAAGAGTTCCTATAACGTCACGACGTGTGCGAATTTGAAGTGTCATAACGCTAGGTATACAATACCTACAGAATTTATTATAATGTTTCACCACAAATATTATCGTGAAAAATGTATTATGGCTTGGTGTTATTCTAACTTGACACAATTTGTTTTTTTAAAGTTATTTATATTTTAATGTTTCGAGAAAAATGTATTATTAATACTTTATTGTACTATAAAGTGAATTATAATAATACAAACATAATGTATGTATATAATATTATATGACGTATTATGCATATGTTACACTGACTGATCTTTCCGAGTAATAATGTTGGTGTAAAATAGAACCAGGAAAAAAATTAAAAGCCCTTAATATTAAAATATAATCAATGGGGAAAAAAGGCTTGTTGGACAATTTTGTTTTAATAACTTTTCTTTTGTCATTGTATTTGAATAATATTACCCAAGCTCCTGCATAATCAACAGACGAGCCATTGTTATTTTTTCGATTTTTTTTTTTGTTTTGTTTTTTCGTTCTCGGTTTAATGGAAATCATTTGTGTTTTAGGAATTGATCAACATAATTAATTTTATATTTATATTAAATCAACCGAAATTATATTCACCGAAAAACACTGGTTGTATAATAAAAAATATTTTTTAATTTATTGTTTGTATATGATGTACCTATGTACGAATATACTATATGCTATCAAAAAGTTAGTGCATACAACGTGATACGTATATAATATAATACTTATATATATATGTTGTCTTTAGACACAAATGGGCGCCAGAAAACTTACGATTGTTTTCGATTGCAAGGTAATCTCGGAAGACAGTAATCTAGAAAAATGGCTTTAGAATGCTATTTATAACGATATAGACCTTTGGCCCCTGCCTTAAAATTTCGTTTTAAGTTTTTGCTACCAAACAAAATACTATAACTTTGGTAGAGTGTGTACTGCGTATATTTAAACTTTTATAAATAATTACCCGTCCAAGACAAAATGTAGGGAATTTGGTTCGCGGAGTCCAATTTACTTAACTGGTTTTAACAATTATTTAACTTTTCATATAAAAATAAATATATTAGAAACATTGTAAATTTTAATTAGATATAAAATGCCTTATAGAAAAGCATTTCTCAAGTTCTGGTTTTATTAACGACAAAAAATTGATTTTGAAAGTAAAGGTTTTTTAATGTTTGCATCAGAGTATAATAGTATAAATACTGTTCCTTCAAGTATTTGACAATTTATATGAGATTATTAAATAACAATTGCATACCTTGTGCAGGTAATAAAATCCGGGTGTATTGCGAAATGCAATACTATACAAGTCAATATTGTATATTACAATATTATATTGTTTTATTGACTTGTTGTTTCTGAAATGATTAGACAAAGTGTAGGCACCTTCATGATAATGTATAGTGTATGATAAAATATGACATTAAGTTGACCAGATAAATAATAGGCTGTAAGTTTAAAATCCATTTTACAAGTAATACAATTAAAGTAATATAATATGGGTCAATCCAGTTTTTTAACGTTATGTGAGTATACACTGCTGTAATTATCGTATGTTAGACGTTTAGAAAAAGGCCAAAACGGTTCAAACCATACAACATACCCACTATATATTTATATTATACAATTTAATACATTATGCTCAAAGTACAATGCATGTATAGTTTTCGCATAGCAAAAGAAAATATGATTAAAGTGATACTGACTACCTATGTGATTTTATGTTATGTGCCCAAAATAATAGCTCCTGTCGCGTCGACACTATAAAATCACTTTCGTCGTCGACGTTGAAAATTATGCGTCTATTGTCTCTTATATTGTGCGTATATATAGGTGGGTTTTATTTTATTTTTTAACTCGCTCGTCCCGGATTCCGCGGGTTATAAAGGTTATTTTTTACGTCCACGCAGCATCCGGTATTTAATTAAATATATAAAATCCGATTGGTTCTGCGGGGTTGCGCGATTTTACGAACGAAAAAATACGACCCTTGCCACCCACAGTGGACCGGAAATCGATATTTTCCGGAATTTCAACCTTACTTATACACTGTATACGCGCTCAGGGTACATATTATTATAGAAAGTGGCAGACGCGTCATCGGAAATCAAAGATTCTCTGCGGTATGAGCACAATAATTATTAATACAGATTATAATACTCGAGCTGAACGATGTGCCAGAAATGGCAAGTGACACAGAGAGTACAATTTAATACATCATAATTATAATAGGTCATAATACGCCAAATGTGTACTATAAGGATACACCGTATGCAAGAAATTTTCGGTTCCAATAACGGTCGTTGATGATATATTACACAACAATAATAATATTATAAGTAATGAGATGGAAAATGCATCTTTTTCATTGCTTATATTATTATTATACGATATATTCACACGGTGTACCTGCAATCCACATAAAATATCAGCCACGGTGGTCAAGGCAATATTTGTAAGATCGACAATAATAACAGTATTCGAACCAAAGCGAATGAGTTCGAGCAATATGGTATTATTGAGACAGCTGTGTACCGTGGTATACATATGGATTTGAAAGGTATAAATTCGAAAGTGCATAGTTATAGTAAATGGATTATTTTTTTTTTAGTCGTTGAACATCCGAAAGTGGGAGGAACGTGAATACGTGATATAGATTGGTAGCGCAATCGTCTTCTTTTATTTAGCTCACATTACTTTTAGGCGTTTCGACGGTTCGACATTTGCCGACGAGTACGAAAAACACAAAACCGATACGAGATGCTCATCGATATTTATATGTGTATATACTACAGTTTTCCGTGTGAGAAGTATTATTCGACAACAATTACGAGAGGTAAATCGACTAGACCATTAAAATAATAAACTTCAAATGACCTATCGTTTCTGCGTAGTAAGTATATATACTTCTATTATATACGCATGTATATACACAACTAATAAGCACAACATACACAACGATTTTATCAAGTTGCATGAAATCCAAGGAAAACCACTTAACATACTTAATACATGTAAATTGTAAATATCATACAGGGTGTAATATAGAAAGTATTAACAAATACAACTAACTATATAACTACCTACTAAGTATGACAACTTTTATTCTAATGAATATTTTAAAAAAAACTTTTCTTAATACTATATTATTATCATCATTTTAAGAAACCCAAAAGTTAAAATATTGATTAAAACAAAAGTTATTAGTATTATTGCATGTTGCAAAGCTTATAAATTATAAATAATTGCTATTACATCCTGTATACATGAAAACTGCACGTGTATACGATACTTCGTTATGAATCTATAATATGACGTTCCTAATGATTTCAGAATTAAATTTAACTGAGGTGTAGTTGGCCTGACAGTGGTTGGTACTTTCGCTTTAAAATTAAAACAATCGAAACTTTCGACGATCCTCACGCTCGGCCAATTCGCAAATTTATGTAGGCACAGAAAGGACGGACGTTCAAATGGGTAAAATATCGTATACATTAAGTTAAGTCCATATATATATTTACTGTACACAATATAAATGCGTTATTCACGTGATTCAGCGGTGTAGATTTATTTGAATGAAAGTTATAATACAAAATTTAAGTATATCATTTACAAATATTATGCATTTACTTGTTAATATTGGTTACTGGACGAAAATCAATTTATAGAATTCGCCATACCTATTATTATATTTATCGCAAATCAGTGTAAATACTTAACTATGTTTTAGAGATAAATATGCCTGCAAAGATATTATACGATAATAGTTGTTTATACTTTATCCTTAATTACAAATTAAAACGATTCACTACATTAGGTATAGTTGAAATCATTTTCTACTATGTATGTTAATTATTATTCTGATGATATTATGTAAGCTGATTATAGATTTGACAGATGTGAATATCAATACTGCGTTATAGCTTTTTTGCAGCTATAGCCTATAATAAATTCATAATTTATAAGTTCATACATATATAGATGGTAAATTTAATATGTCATAAAATTGAATCATTGAATCATTCTTCAAAAACAGAGAAACAAATCAAATATTTACTAACACTTTATGTAACTATATAATCTATACCAAACCAATCAAAAGTTGAAAAAACACAATAAATGCATTATTATAGTCGCATCACGGACGGTTATAATAATAATAATATGCTATATTTCGAATATACAATATACATCTGATGGGAATGTGTATAAGCCATATTCTATTCAACCGATAACTGTTTAGGTCTCCCGGTTCCGGGGTCAATTTCTCCACCCAGTTTTTTTGGATGCCCGGACAACCACGCTGTCTGTAAACGTAAACCAACCTCGGGCCTACTATAACTATTATTATACCGAGTCACTCATTATACGCGGTATACGTTTTAGGAATCAAATAGTTTCGACCTGCAGCCGATTTCGCATGCAAATGTATTCAGACAGCTGCAGTTATACCTCCCTTCCTTGTGCCCACCAAACCGTGTTACCTTTAAGCACAGACATAACCGATAGATTTACTAGATTATGTTTCGGGCGTAATCTTCTCCCTTCACACGCATTTAAATTAGGTCTTAATAAAGTGTGTGCATTACCTGATTTTGGTGGCGAAATCCGCGAAACCCACGACATTAGAGGATTCATCTATAATACCTATGTGCAGTGCTTTTTTTTAATCAATAACAATATGATGATTTTTTCCTGACCTTTACTAAATTTTTCGACGACTATTCTTCTAACCGTATTGTTACAAATT